GGCACTTTTTTAGACATCTTCTAGGCACTTCATATTGCCGGGCTCATTGTGAATCTCTTCCTCTCTCTCTCTCTCATGGTCAGTCAAATTTGCTGCTTGATAACCCAAATATGCAAATTACACCAGCCAATTGAATGGAACAAATAACCGATCTTGGGCACAATCAGTGCAAACTAGTTTATTAAGGTGATTCAAAATGGGTCAGGTAGATGAAACATCGCCCGTAGTTCTACAAAGGGTGCAGTTGTCATACAGACGCCTCCGTTGGTGTAGAGGTAAGGTTCCCTTCAAATTTTATCATGGTATATAATTTTGATGTAAAATGTTATTAGGATTATTTCAAAATTTATTTTTATATCTAATTATAAAATTTTAAATTTAAAAAATGGTTAAAATCAAGTAGATCTACAAACATATGAAAATCTTGAAAATGGACGGTGTAGATAATATGTTGTAAAATGCACTATTTCTGAGACTTAAAATCTTTTTATTTTTCATAGTCATAAATCTTTTCATTTTTTATAATTATACATCTCGATGTCGAGATGATCAATCAAAGGGTTTTTCAACATTAAAATTACCTTTTCCGATGAATTTTTGAGGGGCATCTGTAGTTCTTACATTATAAGGTTGCATCCTTATATAAACTTTTTCTTTCTACAAATCCAAAGTTCGTGAATGGTGAGCAAATGATGCAACAGTCAAGCCATGATTGTATAACGCCATGGAACCTGATATACGTGATAGTATGATGTTTCTAAAGAAGTATGGGATGCCCTTCAAGAGCAATTCTCTCAAAAGAATAATAGTGCACATATATTCCAACTTCACCGTGACAAGGACATAAATCTTTTTCTACATATTTTTGTATTTTGAAAGGGTTGTCAGATGACATGAGCTACTATAATCTGCTTCCTTATGGTTGTGCAGCTAAGCTCGAAATACGGCGAAAAAGTAGGATGAATATTGGAAGTAATTGCTACTTGCCGATTTCAGACTTTGAAACTGATAGAAATCAAATCGTAGCTCAAGAAAATTTATTTCCCTCTGTGCAGCTTGTAGTCTTCTTCATCGAGAAGAGAACGAACGTTATGAGCCACCCAAAAATTGCAATTGCGGATCCTGCTCTGGTATTAAATATCAGAAACACCATTATAGGTTGAAATCATAGAAAAACCAGAGCCTAGAAGCATCCCAACCAAGAGAAGCATCCAAATGAAGAAAAACTTAACTTAAATCTACTGCAAGAAGGATAGACATCACAAGGACAAGTGCTGATCTTTACATGGTCGACCTTCTACTGGTCGTACAAGCAATACTCAATACTACTAATCTCCCTGTCTCAAAGATCCTTCAAAGCCATAACAATGGAACTTACTCTCCTTCTCAAGTAGCAAGTAACTTGTTTTTTTCTTCTTGCTACCCACACCACAGAGTAGATTATTGACTCTCTAGATAGAGAACATATAGCAGGTAAACCATTATACCCAAATCCTTTTCATCATCTAGCTTCTCCCAAAAATGTTTGTCTTTCTGATGGATTAACCACCCAAGCTCTCAAAGCTGGGCACGCAGATTCACCCCTAGTTTTTTTCTTTATAAATGTTTTCCATATGCCTTTCATTCACTGCTACTCTTATCTTTCTTAGTCGCATTACCAAGACTAGAAACTGCTTTATCCTACACATTTTCTCTCAGGAGGAATTGGGAGTACTTAGGACAGTGCTACATTCACCATAGCTTCCGTCACCAACTTTCTTGACCTCTTGGCACATGGCAAGAGTCAGCCCCCATACATAATCTCACGATATGCAAAGACCTGTGTTTATGGGGAATAGTCACCGGGGCCAACTCACTGCAACCCATTTCACGAGCCGTCATCCCAACCCAGCTTTTGTAGATTTCTGGCTTCTTTTAATTTGTTATGCTTTTTTCCCTGTTTTTTTTAGTTGTAGAAGCATTCTAGTTACATCACTACCCAAATATTGTATTTGTCATTTGCCAATGAAATCCATGTTGATAGTGAATCTGCATCTGTCCCTGTTTGATGTTTATTTCCTGGCCCTCTTAGGGGTTTGTAAAGGCCACCCAGTTATTGGGGAAGGCCTAACTGTGTCTTGCTCAGGATTTTGTACCTTCTATATTCTATCAATATAAATAGTCAACTTTATAAAAAACATGATTTCTAAAACATTTTGTTTTTAAATCAATGACTTGATTTATGAAGTGTAGAATGATGACTCAAAATAAATTGTGAATAAAGAGGAATAATTATATGTGAATTAACAACTTAGAACTTCATGTGAATCTGTAGTTCCAAAACGAAAAGGCAGTTTCATCAATTTGGAAAATGTAGAGGTATGACCAAACAAACTTGTCGAATTTTTTCAGTGAGGTAAAACGAGAAGTAATGTACAGGCTCCAATGAACACTGGGAATTTAAATGTAGTTGTGCAAGAATGGAAAACACAGGTAGTCTCCAGGAAGGTCTTTATGCAACAAAGACATTTACCAATAATAATTAAAATAGACAGATATATTACAGAAACTCCAGCACTTTGCATCTTAAGTCCATCATTTTTTTAATGGATATTGCCCGTGGTTAACCTTCTGAAACCACTATACTAGGTATGGATTCTGTGTCCCGAGCACGTAGCACCTATTTCTTTTCAGTGTTCCACGATATCTCAAACATTTGTTCAATAGAATAAAATTGCCCATCCTAGTTTTAATACCACAAAAATCTTTGAGATTTGACATCTCCTATCAGCTGAATTTTCATAGTTTAAGAATACAAGCATTTCCCCGTTTTAGCCACAACGGGATTCTTAATATTAACTCCAACGAATTGGAGAAATTCACAACAATGTTCTACGTTGCCTAAACGGCCAAGTCTCACAGGTTCTCAGAGTTCCTCAGTCAGAATGGCACCCTTCTAGGTCCGAGTGACTTCGTCTAGTCCAAGTCGGACACAACGAGTTTTAAAACACTGCTTAGGGTTTTTCTTCTTTTTTGCACCAAAGGTAAATGGTCTAGTTGTATATTGCCCCCGATTTCTAAGTTCTTATAGTTGCATTGGAAGTGACAATGATGCTGATTTTAAGAGTGGATAGATTTCCATTCTTACAACAATGGATAGCATCAAAAGTTATCTGCTCTTCCTTTTATAGATATAGAACTGATTGTACATTAATTCTTCAAAAAAAAAAAAAAAGGCATTCTACATCAGTTTCCAATTCTGCAAAAGATATTGACAAACATAAGTTATGTCATTGCCCGGAGCTTCAAATTGGGTCCCAATAATTGGGGAAACTAGAGTTGTGAAAAGAGAAAAATCATGATAATCAGAAAAGAAAATTAATAGAGTGTTAAATACCTCTGTACACACATTGACAACCTCCTCGTAATATTCACCAAAAATATCATCCTGATCCTCTGAAAGTTTTTTCAAAAGATGGTCTCTGAATTTCTCTGTCTCCTGAATCATCAAAACATAATAACAATAATGATAACAACAACAATAATAATAAAGGAAGATTTATAACATGAGAGATGAACTATTTAACATTTTACCCATGTAATTTGATTTAACTTTGTAAAATCAATTGAAATACACATGATCATGAGTTGGAATGGTTGCAAATGTGTAAAATATTAAATAGTTAATCTCTCATGGTATTTTGATAAATTTAACTAATAATAGTAAACTGTAAGAGCATGGCTTGGAATGAGTGAAACACTAATAATCAGTAATTAAAAAGAAAAATAATAAAGAAAATAAAAGAGAAGAACAAAAAGTAAAGAGAAAGGACCAAAAAAAACTTGGGTTATGAGTGGAGAGTGAGAGAGAGCTTACAGCTTGAGCAAATTCAGGAATGGGGTCAGGGAAGACGTATTCTCCTGCTTCACAACGCATGGGGAGCTTCCTGCGAGGTTTTAGAGAGAGAAAGGCAGTATTTTGAGACCCATGTCTTAGAGTAAGAGAGGCAGCTGTTTTACATGAAGGCAGGGGCCGAGGAAGAGAGAGAAAGGCTCTGTGAAGATGTGGGTGAGGAGGAGAGGGAAGATGCACAGGAGTGTACAAGAAGTGGGAGTCGAGTGAGAAAGAGAGAGGCACACTCAGATTCAAAATCGCCATTATCGTAAGTACAAGTCTCTTTGTACACACTCCAGCAAGCAAAATCCATTCGCGATATGTTCAGCAAGAGAAAATCTAAAGTCGGCGGTTTCTATAGGGCCGAGGTTTTAAACAATCAAAGTACAGCGCACCTTCAAATAGTATTGAGAAATATGGTTTTAGAGCAATGATCCAATGCAACAGTTGTATCATAGTATAATACAATTACACTTCTAGAAAATCATGTTTGTGGTACTTGTATGATCTCAAATTTTACACACACACTCTCTTCATCTCAATAATCAATCCCTCTAAAAAAAAAAAAAAAAAAAAGTTCAATTTGAACCTTAGATATGGTCAAACTGAATCCCCTCTAAAAATGAATCCAGACCATTCATTTTGTGAATTTCAAGATCTTAAT